TGAGGCAAGACAGACACAAGACCCAGCTGGGTGCAAAAGCGCTGATGATCACAAGGCGCGAGTGCCTTGGTGAACACATCAGCAGTGTTGGCCTCAGAGGCCACGTACGCAAGTCGCAACTGACCACGCTGCTGCAGCTCACGAGCAAGGAAGTAGCGGAGAGCAATGTGCTTCGTTCTGTGCTCCAAGCGCTGCTCTCGACACAAGGCCAGCATGGCCTTGTTGTCTACGTACAGCACTGGAGGAGAACGAGGCGGCTCTCCAAGGTCAGTCAGCAGGTAGGTGAGCCAGCGAAGCTCCTGTGCAGCCATGGCCCCGGCGTAGATCTCAGCCTCACAACTGGAGCCGAGAACTGAAGACGAGCGAGTAGACCGCCACGAGACAGAGCCGGAACCAAGGCTGAAGGTGTAACCCTGTGACGACCGCTGCGTAGCCTGGTCGTCAGCCCAAGAAGCGTCCGCGTGGCCGGTAAGGACCACTGGACTCCGCCCTCCAAGCACAAGCCCCATGCCCGACGTACTGCACAGGTAGCGCAATACCCTCTTCGCTGCAGCCATGTGCTCTGGTCTGTGTCTCCCAGGAGCAACATAGCGTGCAAGAATGCTCAGAGGATATGCAAGGTCAGGTCGTGTGCAGGTCATCAGGTACATGAGGCAGCCAACAAGCTCTGCATACGGACCACTCGACTCTACGGACTCATCCGAAGGCAGAGCTGAGAGTGAGTGGCGAGTAGGCAGAGGAGTGGCCTGAGGCGAGGAGTACGTGAAGCCGAACCGCTGAAGGACCTGCTGCACCATGTGTGACTGAGTCAAGGTAATGGTGCGGCGTGCTCTGTCCCGAGTGATCTGCAAGCCAAGGTAGCTGCGCAGTTCACCCAGGTCTGTGCACGTGTGTCTCTTCAGCAGTTCGGACTTCACGTGGGCGAGTCCAGCAGTGTCCGCTGTGGCAAAGACCAAGTCGTCGACGTACACGAGGATGTAGAACGGCGGCAGTGAAGTGTCGGTGCGCAGAAACAGCGACGGGTCAGCAGTAGAAGGAGCAAACCCAAGAGCCGCAAGCGTAGTCCTCAGTGTGTCGTGCCACTCACGTGGTGCCTGGCGGAGACCGTAGACTGGCCGTCGGAGGCTCCACTGGGTGCCAAGAGGGAAAGTCCCAGTGAAGCCAGGTGGACGGCGCAGCCAGATCTCCTCGTGCAGGCTACCCTGCAGGAACGCAGTGCTGAAGTCAAGAGAGTGAAGCTCGTAGTCGCGCTGAGCGGCTATGTGCAGCAGCACCCGAAGAGTGGTCATCTTCGGGGTGGGAGAGAAGGTCTGAAAGTAGTCAACTCCCTGCCGCTGACTGAAGCCACGAGCAACATACCGCGCCTTGAAGACAGGTGGAGAGCCCGGCGGCCGCTTCACCCGGAAGATCCACATGCCACTGACGATGTTCGCCCCAGGAGGGGGAACTGCGTCAACGTAGGTGCCTGTGGACTTCCAGGAAGCCATCTCTGCATCCATAGCTGCCTGCCACTGAGAGGAGTAGGGACCCTCTACGGCCTCCGCGTAAGAACGCGGAGTCGGGATGTCTAGTGCATCCGGGTCTCCCTCAGGGGCAAGCAGTACAGACGCGAGATGAGGTGAAGCAGCCGCTAGACACTGTAACTCCTCCTGTCTGTCCTCTAGGACGTCCGTGCCAAGAGCACACTCACCCCCGACGGACGGAGGACAGACAGACGCAGACTCAGTAACAAGACCAGCAGCGTAGTCGAGACGACAGCGAGCAGCAAAGTCAACGAGCTCAGCGACTAGAGCAGACGCAGCAGTGGACTCAAAAGAGGGGTCAGTGACGACAGTAGCAAGCAGACGCGTGACAGTAGGACTGGCAGCGCGAAGAGAGTCCGACTCAGGGTCGGCAAGCGCAGGAAGAGAGGACTCAGGAGGAGAAGGCAAAGGGGCACGTAGAGGAGCAGTGGACGGACGCAGAGACATCCGGTGCGTGCCAGGGACAGGAGGAGGACGCTGACGTGAACCGCGACCACTAGCGCGAGCAGCACGAACAGGCGACGCGGGACGAGACGCAGGCTCACGACGCTCAGCAAGACCTCCAGTAGGACCAGTGTAAGGAGAGGGAGCAGGCAGAGGAGAGGAAGGCTCCAACAGTGACTGCGACTGGACAGGCTGTGGACACTCTACCGAAGGAGAAAGACCAAGAACCTGCTGTAGGAGCGGAACGAAGTACGGCCGAGGCCGCGCGGCAGCTCCAGACTCAGCAGGGACAGCACCAGTACCCGCAGCGACAGCACCAGCGCCACCCACACCTCCAGCGGCAGGACCAACAGCAGTAGGCTCAGCACCAACGCCCTCAGCACCTCCAGCTCCAGGAGGACCCGCAGGTCCAGCAGCTCCGGAACCGGCAGCACCCGCACCCTCGACGGTCGAAGAAGCTCCAGCTCCAGCTCCAGCAGCACCTCCAGACTCAGCAGCACGCCTCCAGCGGCGAGCGTACCACTCGCGCAGCTCCTGTGGAGAGAGGGGCTCCCGGCGAGACGCAGCAGCAGGAGAAACCCCAGGCTCAGCAGCTCCAGACGCAGCAGGGACAGCACCAGCACCCTCAGCGACAACACCAGCGCCACCCACACCTCCAGCGGCAGGACCAACAGCAGTAGGCTCAGCACCGACGCCCTCAGCAGCTCCAGCTCCAGGAGGACCCGCAGGTCCAGGAGCTCCGGGACCGGCAGCACCCGCACCCTCGACGGTCGAAGAAGCTCCGGCTCCAGCTCCAGCAGCACCTCCAGACTCAGCAGCACGCCTCCAGCGGCGAGCGAACCACTCGCGCAGCTCCTGTGGAGAGAGGGGCTCCCGGCGAGACGCAGCAGCAGGAGAAACTCCGGGCTCAGCAGCTCCAGACGCAGCACCCCCAGGCTCAGCAGCTCCCGACCCAGCACCCCCAGACCCAGCACCTCCAGGCACAGCACCCCCCGGCTCAGCACCCCCAGGCTCCGCACCCTCCGCAGTAGCACCCTCAGGCCCAGCACCCCCAGCAGTAGCACCCCCAGGCTCAGCACCCCCGCGCACATCACCCCCAGAGTCAGCACCCCCAGGCTCAGCACCCGCAGCAGCACCAGAGTCACCAGTAACCTCGACCGGGTCAACGGCGTCTACCTGGGACACACCTGAGGGGGCAGGAACCTGAGGGGGGAGGGGGTCTACCGGGGGGGGAACCGGCACAAGGAAGTCCGGGGGAGGGGGGAGGGAAGGAGTGCGGTAGGGGAAGAGACGGTAGAAGGGGACTGACTCGTCGAACGTGACGTCCTGGGAGGACAGAACACGACGAGAGGAGGGGTGGTAAAACTGCCACCCTGGGGCGTCAGTGGGGAAGCCAAGGAAGACACAGGGAGCAGCACGAGGGGACAGCTTGTCCGCAGACAAGTCGCGGACAAACGCCCGAGATCCCCAGACACGGAACACAGACGCATCGCCAACCTTCCCCGTCCACAGCAAGGCTGGGGACATCGCAGGCCGAGAGACCCGGGGGTGAAGGTTGAGCTGATGCGCCGCGTACCTCACCGCAAACGGCCACAGAAAATGGGGGGCAGCCGCATGCATCATGGACGTACGAGCGACATCCATGACCATGCCAATGCGGCGCTCAGCAATCCCATTTTGCTGTGGTGAGTCCGGAAGCGTGAAGGTCTGGCGGATCCCCCGTGCACGACAGTAGTCTCGCAGAAGGCGAGAAGAGAACTCTCCGCCTCTGTCAGAGTGCAGACGCAGAACAGGAAAGTCCGAGCCGAAGCTCTTCCTGAGCTGGAGACGAGCCTCGCGGATCCAGTCGATCAGCACCTCAGTGACCTCACCCTTGCTGCGCAAGGGGAGGACTGTGGTGTAACGCGAGTAGTCGTCAACCACCAACAGGAAGTAGCGCTCGTAACCCTGCCCACGGACGGGGGCTGGGCCCCACACATCCATGTGAAGCGTCTGCAGGGGAGCCTCTGTCGGGGGGAAGTGGGAGGAGTGAGGAGTAGCCCGGAGGCGACCCTCGACACAGGGGACACAGGAAGGTCCTGGCCCGGAGGGGAGAGGAGGGAGAGACTGGGGAAGACCAGAGACAAGGACACGGGAAGCCATGCTCCGAAGACGGGGCAAGGAGGGGTGACCAAGACGGTGGTGCCACAGGAGAGTCTCGTGAGACAGGAGGCGACAAGTACAGGGGGCAGACTCAGGACCAGACCTGGACGCAGCAGCAAACACCTGACCCGACGCTGCTACCTGACCGGACGCGGGGACAGGAGGAGACTCAGTGGTCAGGGTGTAGAGGCTCGACCCCGGCCGACGCGAGAACGTGGCCAGGTGCCGGCCTGTGCGTGCGTCCGTGCAGTGGGTCACCCGCTGACTCGCAGGAGTGAACTGGTGAACCCCCGCATCCTGTAGGTCTGCACCACTCACCAAGTTCGTCGAGAACGAGGGGAGGTACAGGCCAGACAGGGTGCCCGAGGGGGCAGCCGGACACGGGAGGACAGTGGAGAAGTGAGCGAGGACAGGACCCCCAGAGGGGTCAGCCAGGGAGACTGCAACCGGCCGACCAAGCGGCGTGAGTGTGGTGCGGTCCCGAAAGAAGGAGCGAGAAGCCCCAGAGTCAAGTGTAAAGGTGAGGGAGGCCGAAGCCAACGCGGTACCTGAGAGGGCAGCCTCACCCGCACCTGAGGAAGCAGACTCACTAGCACCTAGAGCAGCAGCCGCACCTGTACCTGGAGCAGGAGACTCACTAGCACCCAGAGCAGCAGCCTCACCAGTAGCTAGAGCAGCAGGTCCTATACCTGGGTCAGGCGGGACGCACAGGTGACCGGCACTGTCAGCACTAGTAGGCAATGCATACATGGCAGTGAGAATAGCATCATAGTCAAGAGCATATATATCTACCCTCTGCCTAAGTAACTCCACCCAGTCGGGAAGCTCAGCCTCGTCGCCAAACACGGTACGCCAGGCGTCGCTCAGACGGGCGAAGCAGCGGGACGGTGTATGACTACGTGTCCCACAAGGCTGACCAGTCCGAGTACCAGTGCGAATCACGTAAGAGCAGCGAACAGCACTGAGAGACCCTCCACTCTGAGCGTACCACTCACGAAGCTGGCGAGGCGTGAGAGACACGCGAGAGGGTCGCGGGAGCTGCATCTGGCCGCCACCACGAGTAGAAGCAGCAGGAGTGGTAGTAGGAGTAGCGTCGCCACCCCTACAGCCCCAACCAGCGTACCACTCACGCAGCTGCTGGGGCGTGAGGGACTCACGCCGGCGTCGCTGGGGCTGCATGTGGCTCCGCAAGTAGAAGCAGGTGCAGGACTAGCAGCAGGGAGGCAGGCAGCCAGGCAAGCCAAAAGGCAGGCAGGCAGGCAAGCAGGCGACGCGCAGTGTGCGAGCAGGGCAAGAGCTCACCAGTGGTGGGAAGAGTAGGCTCGGCGACCCAGCGGCTCGGCAGCTCGGGCGACTCGGGCGGCTCGGCGGCAAGGCGGCTCAGCAGCAACTGCAGCTCAGCAGCTCGGTGACTCGGCGGCTCGGCGGCAGGGCGGCTCGGCAGCAACTGCAGCTCAGCAGCTCAGCGACCCGGCGGCTCGGCGGCAGGGCGGCTCGGCTGTGGGGCGGCTCGGCTGCTGCAGGTGAGCGGCTCGGCTGCTGCAGTGGGAGATGAAGGAGGAGGAGAAGCAGGGGAGGCCACACACCTGCCACCCCTCTGCTGGCCTCGCAAGCGGCCCCCTCAGGTCACCTCGACAGGCGACGGGAAAAGGGGGGGTGGGTGGTGGGGGGCCGGTAGATGCAGCGGCGGGGCCAGCAGGTGGAGTTGCGGGGCCGGTAGAAGGGGACGGCAGGAGCCGTCAGGAGGGGACGGCGGGGCCGTCAAGAAGGGACGGCGGGGCCGTCACGAAGGGACGGCGGGGCCGTCAGGAGGTGACCGGGCCGCGACGGGGGCAGGCGGCGGGGCCGCGTAAGGGCCTGGGCGGGGCCGCGACAGAGCCGTCGGCGGGGCCGCGTGAAAGCCGGGGCGGGGCCGCGTAGAAGCCGGGGCGGGGCCGCGCGAGAGCAGGTGGCGGGGCCGCGAAGGAGCCGGGGCGGGGCCGCGTGAGAGCAGGCGGCGGAGCCGCGTAAGGGCCTGGGCGGGGCCGCGACAAAGCCGTCGGCGGGGCCGCGTGAAAGCCGGGGCGGGGCCGCGTAGAAGCCGGGGCGGGGCCGCGCGAGAGCAGGTGGCGGGGCCGCGAAGGAGCCGGGGCGGGGCCGCGTGAGAGCAGGCGGCGTAGCCGCGTAAGGGCCTGGGCGGGGCCGCGACAAAGCCGTCGGCGGGGCCGCGTGAAAGCCGGGGCGGGGCCGCGTAGAAGCCGGGGCGGGGCCGCGTGAGAGCAGGCGGCGGGGCCGCGACAGAGAGGGCGGCGGGGCCGCGTCAGTGAAGGCGGCGGGGCCGCAGGGGAAATGGCGACCCGAGGGGTCGCTAAAAAAAAAGATCGCGCCTCGGGGGGCGCTTCGGTGGGCCCAAAAAAAAAACGGTCCGTAGAAGGACCCGCTCTATACCATGTGAGAATAAGAGAACAGGGAATGAATGAACTAGCAGTGAAATGAGTACAAGTAGGAAACCCTAGAATTGTGTACCCCCTATAGGCTAACCCACTGTAGCCTACACAAGCATAACATATATAATGTTTGACACTAGCGTGTGCAAAATAAAAAGAACAAGGGCATAGCGTGTGCAATATAGCAAGAACAAGGGCCTAGCGTGTGCAAAATAAAAAGAAGAAGGGCCTAGTGTGTGCAAAATTGCAAGAACAAGGGCCTAGCGTGTGCAAAATTGCGAGAACAAGGGCCTAGGGAGTGCAACATAGCAAGTGCAAGGGCCTAGCGTGCAAGGGCATAGCGTGTGCAAAATAAAATGAACAAGGGCATAGCGTATGCAAAATATAAAGAACAAGGGCATAGCCTGTGCAAAATAAAAAGAACAAGGGCCTAACGTGTGCAAAATAAAAAAAACATGGGCCTAGCGTGTGCAAAATTGAAGAACAAGGGCCTAGCGTGTGCAAAATTGCAATAACAAGGGCCTAGCGAGTGCAAAGTAGCAAGAGCAAGGGCCTAGCCGGTGCAAAAAATCAAGAACAAGGCCCTAGCGTTTGCGAAATAGCAAGAGCAAAGGCCTAGCGTGTGCAAAATAAAAAGAACAAGGGTCTAGCATGTGCAAAATTGCAAGAATAGGGGCCAAGCGTGTGCAAAATAAAACGATAGGGGGCATAGCGTGTGCGAAATAGCAAGAACAAGGGCCTAGCGTGTGCAAAATAAAAAGAACAAGGGCCCAGCGGGTGCGAAATTGCAAGAACAAGGGCCTAGCGTGAGCAAATTTGCAAGAACAAGGGCCTAGCGAGTGCAAAATAGCAAGAGCAAAGGCCTAGCGTGTGCAAAAAATCAAGAACAAGGGCCTAGCGTTCGCGAAATAGCAAGAACAAGGGCCTAGCGCGTGCAAAATAAAAAGAACAAGGGTCTAGCATGTGCAAAATTGCAAGAACAAAGGCCTAGCGCGTGCAAAATAAAAAGAACAAGGGCATAGTGTGTGCAAAATAGCAAGAACAAGAACAAGGGCCTAGCGTGTGCAAAATAAAAAGAACAAGGGCCTAGCGTGTGCAAAATAAAAAAAACAAGGGCCTAGCGTGTGCAAAATTGAAAGAACAAGGGCCTAGCGTGTGCAAAATTGGAAGAACAAGGGCCTAGCGAGTGCAAAATAGCAAGAGCAAGGGCCTAGCGTGTGCAAAAAACCAAGAATAAGGGCCTAGCATTCGCGAAAGAGCAAGAGCAAGGGCCTAGTGTGTGCCAAATAAAAAGAACAAGGGTCTAGCATGTTCAAAATTGCAAGAACAAGGGCCTAGTGTGTGCAAAATAGAAAGAACTAGGGCATAGAGTGTGCAAAATAGCAAGAACAAGGGCCTAGCGTGTGCAAAATATAAAGAACAAGGGCCTAGCGTGTGCAAAATAAAAAGAACTAGGGCATAGCGTGTGCAAAATAGCAAGAACAAGGGCCTAGCGTGTGCAAATTAAAAAGAACAAGGGCCTAGCGTGTGCAAAATAAAAAGAACAAGTGCCTAGCGTGTGCAAAATAAATAGAACAAGGGCCTAGCGTGTGCAAAATTGAAAGAACAAGGGCCAAGCGTGTGCAAAATTGCAAGAACAAGGGCCTAGCGAGTGCAAAATCGCAAGAGCAAGGGCCTAGCGTGTGTAAAATTGCAAGAACAAGGGCGTAGCGAGTGCAAAATAGCAAGAGCAAGGGCCTAGCGTGTGCAAACAATAAAGAACAAGGGCCTAGCGTTCGCGAAATAGCAAGAGCAAGGGCCTAGTGTGTGCAAAATATAAAGAACAAGGGTCTAGCATGTGCAAAATTGCAAGAACAAGGGCCTAGCGTGTGCAAAATAAAAAGAACTAGGGCATAGCGTGTGCAAAATAGCAAGAACAAGGGCCTAGCGTGTGCAAAAAAAAAAGAACAAGGGCCTAGCGTGTGCAAAATAGCAAGAACAAGGGCCTAGCGTGTGCAAAATTGCAAGATTAAGGGCCTAGCGTGTGCAAAATTGCAAGAACAAGGGCCTAGCGAGTGCAAAATAGCAAGAGCAAGGGCCTAGCGTGTGCAAAAAATCAAGAACAAGGGCCTAGCGTTCGCAAAAAAGCAAGAACAAGGGCCTACCGTGTGCAAAATAAAACGAACAAGGGTTTAGCATGTGCAAAATTGCAAGAACAAGGGCCTAGTGTGTGCAAAATAAAAGGAACAAGGGCATAGCGTGTGCAAAATAGCAAGAACAAGGGCATAGCGTGTGCAAAATAGCAAGAACAAGGGCCTACCGTGTGCAAAATTGCAAGATTAAGGGCCTAGCGTGTGCAAAATTGCAAGAACAAGGGCCTAGCGAGTGCAAAATAGCAAGAGCAAGGGCCTAGCGTGTGCAAAAAATAAAGAACAAGGGCCTTGCGTTCGCAAAAAAGCAAGAACAAGGGCCTACCGTGTGCAAAATAAAACGAACAAGGGTTTAGCATGTACAAAATTGCAAGAACAAGGGCCTAGTGTGTGCAAAATAAAAGGAACAAAGGCATAGCGTGTGCAAAATAGCAAGAACAAGGGCATAGCGTGTGCAAAATAGCAAGAACAAGGGCCTAGCGTGTGCAAAATAAAAAGAACAAGGGCCTAGCGTGTGTAAAATTGCAAGAACAAGGGCCTAGCGTGTGCAAAGTTGCGAGAACAAGGGCCTAGCGAGTGCAAAAAAGCAAGAGCAAGGGCCTAGCGTGTGCAAAAAATCAAGAAGAAGGGCCTAGCGTTCGCGAAATAGCAAGAGCAAGGGCCTAGCGTTCGCAAAAAAGCAAGAACAAGAGCCTAGCTTGTGCAAAATAAAAAGAACAAGGGTCTAGCATGTGCAAAATAAAAAGAACAAGGGCAAAGCGTGTGCAAAATAGCACGACCAAAGGCATAGCGTGTGCAAAAAAAAAAAAACAAGGGCCTAGCGAGTGCAAAATAGCAAGAGCAAGGGCCTAGCGTGTTCAAAAAATCAAGAACAAGGGCCTAGCGTTCGCGAAATAGCAAGAGCAAGGGCCTAGCGTTCGCAAAAAAGCAAGAACAAGAGCCTAGCGTGTGCAAAATAAAAAGAACAAGGGTCTAGCATGTGCAAAAATGCAAGAACAAGGGCCTAGCGTGTGCAAAATAAAAAGGACAAGGGCCTAGCGTGTGCAAACTAGCAAGAACAAGGGCCTAGCGTGTGCAAAATAAAAAGAACAAGGGCCTAGCGTGTGCAAAATTGAAAGAACAAGGGCCTAGCGTGTGCAAAATTGCAAGAACAAGGGCCTAGCGAGTGCAAAATAGCAAGAGCAAGGGCCTAGCGTGTGCAAAAAATCAAGAACAAGGGCCTAGCATTCGCGAAATAGCAAGAGCAAGGGCCTAGCGTGTGCAAAATAAAATGAACAAGGGTCTAGCATGTGCAAAATTGCAAGAGCAACGGCCTAACGTGTGCAAAAAAAAAAGAACAAGGGCATAGCATGTGCAAAATAGCAAGACCAAGGGCCTAGCGTGTGCAAAATAAAAAGAACAAGGGCCTAGTGTGTGCAAAATTGCAAGAACAAGGGCCTAGCGTGTGCAAAATTGCAAGAACAAGGGCCTAGCGTGTGGAAAATAGCAAGAGCAAGGGCCTAGCGTGTGCAAAAAAAAAAAGAACAAGGGCATAGCATGTGCAAAATAGCAAGACCAAGGGCCTAGCGTGTGCAAAATAAAAAGAACAAGGGCCTAGTGTGTGCAAAATTGCAAGAACAAGGGCCTAGCGTGTGCAAAATTGCAAGAACAAGGGCCTAGCGTGTGGAAAATAGCAAGAGCAAGGGCCTAGCGTGTGCAAAAAATCAAGAACAAGGGCCTAGCGTTCGCGAAATAGCAAGAACAAGGGCCTAGCGTGTGCAAAATAAAAAGAACAAGGGTCTAGCATGTGCAAAATTGCAAGAACAAGGGCCTAGCGTGTGCTAAATAAAAAGAACAAGGGCCTAGCGTGTGCAAAATAAGAAGAACAGAGGCCTAGCGTGTGCAAAAAAATCAAGAACAAGGGCCTAGCGAGTGCAAAATAGCAAGAGCAAGAGCCTAGCGTGTGCAAAAAGTCAAGAACAAGGGCCTAGCGAGTGCAAAATAGCAAGAGCAAGGGCCTAGCGTGTGCAAAAAATCAACAACAAGGGCCTAGCGTTCGGGAAATAGCAAGAACAAGGGCCTAGTGTGTGCAAAATAAAAAGAACAAGGGTCTAGCATGTGCAAAATTGCAAGAACAAGGGCCTAGTGTGTGCAAAATAAAAAGAACACGGGCATAGCGTGTGCAAAATAAAAAGAACAAGGGCATAGCGTGTGCAAAATAAAAAGAACAAGGGCCTAGCGTGTGCAAAATAAAAAGAACAAGGGCCTAGCGTGTGCAAAATTGCAAGAACAAGGGCCTAGCGAGTGCAAAATAGCAAGAGCAAGGGCCTAGCATGTGCAAAAAATCAAGAACAAGGGCCTAGTGTTCGCGAAATAGCAAGAACGA